GACTTAAATAATAATATAAAATGGTATTTTAAACAAAATCTTATCTTGCATTATTTACACTGCATAGTCACCAACCAAGCGCTAACTTCTCCTTAGCATCACAATAGAAAAAAAACACACACACACACACTTAATGGCAGATATACAAGGAACAAAACTTTCATTTGTAGTGAATTAGGCAAATAATAATGTTGAAGAAGAAGACTGTTCGAAGAGAAAAAACAAAATTCGCAAAAACCGCATATTGGCCAATATGAACAGCATGTATGCTCTCCTGACACAGAGAAGATTTCCCTGGGCTCGGACATGTCACCCGCATGCCAGATGGTAGAATCCCGAAAGATATCTTATATGCTGAGCTTGTGGAAGGAGTCAGGCCCAAGGGCCGCCCAAGACTAACATATAGAGATGTCTGCAAGCGAGACACGAGAGCCACAAGCATCAGTGAAAGTATGTGGGAAAACATAGCCAAAGACCGGAGTGCATGGAGACAGACTGTGCGTGCTGGGACAACCCTTGCTGAGAACAAAAGAATTGAAGCGGCCTTAAGCAAGAGGGAAAAAAAGAAAGCTGCCCTGTCCGCTATCCCTAAATCAGAGGCATACACATGTACGAATTGTGGCAAAGTCTGCCGTTCTAGAATTGGCTCGATTAGCCACACCAGATTCTGCTCGTCTCAAGATTAAGCCAAAACCAGTGACTCATTTGAGCGCATCCATTGCCTTTCGAGACAAAAGGAGCCCTAGATATATTTAATGTTGATATTAAAAATACAACTACATTTACAATTAAACATAAAAATAGTAGCTTCAAATCAAAATGGAGGTTAACTATTTGGATTTATTTGGATAATCCTATCACAATAATGAACTCCGATTGGGAATCAAAGCGGAAAGAACTAGTCCTCCCGTAGTGATCTGGCAAGAAACTACTACTATCTGGTTTAATGAAAAGGTCAGTTTTGAATCTATGCCTATCAGCAATCAATATACATTCAATAACGGCCTTAATTGGGATATGGTATTTGATCAGGCCGGAACCAGGTCGTGCGGTTAAGTTATTACACTTCTGCTGGCACGAGGTACATGAGTAACATGAACCCTAATTGAACAGATCTTGTTTGTTTCGCGATTAAGCGTTGCGGCATTGACCAGAGAATTTACATCTGAAATCTGAAATGTTATTTTCCTGTTGCGTGCAGTGATAATGTCTGTGTGTACAGAGGGGGGGGGGGGGGGTATTGTAATTAAGTATTAAAAAAACCTTTTTTTTCAAATCCAATATATAAGAGGAAAAAACACATTTACGGGTACATATCTAAATACTGCAAGACTTATAACCCTTTTCTAAATAAAAACCGTACATATATACAAAAATACACACATATTAATACAGTAATAATACAGTATCTCACGTGGTTATGCAGTCCCTGCAGTGACCTACATATTATGCTACATCCAACACAGACATAAACGTTGTCCGCCGGTGGTCTATTTAGGTTCTATTTTTCGCCTTCAATGGAAAATCCACCTTCGAGGAGATACATACATACATACATACATACATACATACATACATACATACATACATACATACATACATACATACATACATACATACATACATACATACATACATACATACATACACACACATGCATACATACATTGATACATACATACACATACATACACATAGATACATTCATGACATACAAATGTACAGACAGACAGATTGGTAGGCCGATATAAACACAGAGAGATTTAAAAAAACAACATAACATAACTAATCACAATTTCAAAATAAAAGGCAATGTAAAAAAATATCTATGTGAAAGAATCTCAATACTGTACGAGTTATTTCTTTTTTTTTTCAATATCAAACAGAATAAATGAATTGCCATGATTTAATTGATAAGATAATTAACTAACCTGTTATTTTTTTAAAATTATTTATTCATGTTTTAACCGGGAATCGGAAGTGAGGGGAAAACGTGGTTAAAATGTGTACCAGACAGACAGACAGATAGACAGACAGGCAGGCAGACAGACAGACAGGCAGACAGACAGACAGACAGAGTGAGTTGATATTAGAGTTGTAAAAAAACAACAACACAATGTTCTTTATATTAAATCATAGCCTTGACCGTAAGCTGGAAATAGAACAAAACATAAATTTTAAAACTGAATTCAAGGTTGATATTCTCTTTAAAAACAAAAAACGCCTGCCAGTAATGTCATTAGCCGTCCCGAAACTTCTTCCGCCTATCTCAGACGTGGCGAGTAAAACACCTGCGCTTGAATAGATTACCGCAATCGTTAAAAGTCTATGAACTTCGAAGAAAAGAAACAAAATTCGCAAAAACCGCATCAAGTTGAAAGAAATTTGGGTAGAGACTTAAAGCAGGAACACTTTAACTCAGGGGAAGAAAGAACAGAAAACTTGACAAAATCATTTTTTTTTTCTCCATATTACCACTTCGTTACGAGATATAGGCGCATGAATTTCAAGTGTTTCTACCTGGGCATTTAGAGCAATGTAAAAATGTTACATTGAAAGAGGCAACACGTAACGAGCATTTTTTTCGGGGGGGGGGGGGAGGGGGTACGCTCGTGAAAACAGTTTAGGGGCGTGAAAGACAATACGCCCAGGTGTTAGGGTTATCTTAGAGCTGAGTTATTGGAATAAAAAATAAACAAAACTTAAAACCCCCTAGAGGTTTGGACTTACTGACAGTTCAAACATGGGAAGGAAGTGAAAATTGTTGGGGGGGGGGGGGGGAAACCGGGATGGGGAGGGAGGAAGGAGGACAGTAAAATATGAAAAATAAAGTGGGGGGGGGGGGGGGGTAGGAGGGAGGGAGAGTAAAATGTGAACATGAAATGAAGAAGAATGAAATGTAAACAAAAACAAAAATGTGGATCAAGTGGTTGTAGTACACAGTGATTCCTAACCTACAACAAGGTGCTATACGAGAAGGTGCTATACGAGAAGGTGCTTTACCATAAGGTGCTATGCGAAAAGGAGCTATACGACAAGGTGCTATATGACAAGGTGCTATACGACAAGGTGCTATACGACAAGACGCTATACTACAAGGCACTATACCACAAGGTGTTTTACGACAAGCTGCTATATCACAAGGCGCTATACGACATGCTAATATGCAACAAGTTGGTATACAACAAGGTGCTATACAAAATGCTATTCGACAACGTGTTATGCAGCAAGGTACTATGCGACAAGACACTATATGTGTGTGGAGTAAAAGATTGTGCTTTAAGTGGATCTAGTGCTAGAACAGTGAGTCCTATCCAGCCCCTGACAATGTGCTATACACAACCTATCGAAACTTCGGCCCAGGGTGCAAAATGAAGCCGCTGCGGCGCTGACCATTTTGTTTCAATGGACTCGGCGGTTTATTTCTTGACAAGCGTGTCGGCAGTGAATGTGACCGCGCCCCTGTAGTGGAACATTGAGTTTAATAGTGCAACAAAGCAGACGTGACGAGGCATCACGTGACCTAGTGGCATTTAGACATCAAAAGAAAACAAAGTCTAAACAATGGTCTGAATAGTTTACAAAGAAATACCTGCGCCGCCCCCCCCCCCTTTTTCCACCACCAAATTCGTGTTTGAATAATTCTACAAGGTTGCGGAATCTGACCTACAAAAAAAGCATACACATGTAAATAACAATAAAGCAATGTCTTGAGTTCAAAGGTTAAGAAAGAGTGCAGTACTTCATGGGGTTACCCAGAACCAGCAGAGATATTTGGGATGAATAAAAAGTTTTTATTTAGACGTTGTTTTTTGTTTTTTTTAAGCTTTTCTTTACGGCCAGTTTTATTTATTAATTAATATTCCAACTTTTGAAGGAACAAAATTAAAAAAAAAAAAAAAGGACATGTTTCCGCTGGGTTTCGAACCCAGGACCTTCTGCGTGTTAGGCAGATGTGACGACCAGTACACTGCGGAAACGCACATATACATAAACTTACAATTTATCACTTTAAATTTTTTTAAATCTTCAACCGGAGACATTGGTGACCCCGAACTGCAACGGCACTTGCTATTCTTTGATACATCTGCTGCCTCAAGAATCGGGAAGGACTGCTGTGTGGGCGACATCGTTCCTCCAAAACTAATGCCCAGACATTCATCTCATTTCCATGACATGACAGTGGCGTAGCTAGGGTATTTGATGCCCTGTGCGGCAGTTCCTCATGGTGCCCTCCAAAAAAGAAAGTTTCTAATTTCGAAAGAAAGTGTATTCATTATTTAAGCAATGCTATGTCGCAAAGAATTGATTTAACACTAAAGATAATACAAGTGAATCTCTCGTACTATCTCGCCGGCAGACTATTGATAATTTTATCGACATAATTTTTTTCCACAAATTTTTCTACTGACGAATGTAAACAAATTAGTGAGTCGTAAATTCGTCATCGTTGATTATACGTATTATTTCATCGAAGAATGTTTTGAAAAACTTCGATTGCATGTAAGCCGCACTTACCACAATAGTAAAATAGATGCGATTTAAGATGGCAATATTCGGGGACGAACATTTTTTTTTTTTTTATAAAACTCCAAATCTCAATAAATTCTTGTTTTTGTTTTTGGAAGTTTGAAGACTTTAACAGAAACTGCGACAATTATCTGAAGGCCCCTGACAAAATTCGTTTTTGTCTATGTCGCTGGGAGAACCATCAAAATTTATTTCTACCTGAGGATTCAATAAAGGCGACTTAAATTCATATTGTTAAGAATCTCGCTATCCAGGCTCTCTGCAAACTGCACCGTACACCACCAACTTAAAGAACTTGACAACTCAGGGCTCCAAAGTAACGTAACACTTTAATAGTTGAATAAATAACAGCCAATACTGTACAATTGGCAACACGTACACTGTACAAATATCTCTCCGGTAACACCGTACCGACGTATCAACTCTTGCACTGGCCTCTCCATTTTGTTCCGGGCTTGCACTGGGTTCAACAGTTCAGGATTGACTTCACACACTAGGCTCGTTGTGTCGGACTCAATCGCAGACCAAGATCAAGACGCCAGTCGTCTCAACTGTACTTGACAGTACTCCGCAGTGAACCGTCGTAATGATCCGTAAGAACCACACCATTGAACTGTGCTGTAGTCGACCTTGTTCTGAACCCCTATCGTAAACCTTCTGTCGTGAACCTCCTGTCGTGAACCTTCTCTCGTGAACCGTGCTGTATTGAACCCCTTTTCTCAACCGTCTTGACTGCGACACCTCGCTCTTATATAGGGTCCCTACTGGCCTTCTAGAAGGGGACGGAACATCGCTCGACGTTTCTAGCTTCGTCACATGACTACATCCCTCGTGACCCTCCTGAGCTCTGTTCACGACGGCGATCCTTCCCGAACCATTCTGTCTTAACTTCCCGAACCGTCCGACCGTCGTAACTCGTCACGGTTGACCGCTCGTCTAGCGCTGGCCTGGGGCGATTTGAGTCGGCTGACTACACTCACACCACTACCCCCATCTATGCCACCACCAGGTTTATAACAATATTTAAAATTATGTTATTCTTTTGGGGCTATTATTTCATGAAAAATACAATCCAAAGAAGGTATTTCCACCAGTCGCTCTTTGTTGTGCTTTGATATCTTTTTTCGCCTTGCAATTTTTCCTTGTGGCCAATACGTCTTTGAGGCTCTGCATGACAATGTACCACAAAATTTTGATTCCGATTTTAGATTTGTACTGTGAAAAAAAATTGAGAATTATTTGCTTTTTAAACTTTCTGTATTATTTTTGTTTTGTTTTCGTGAGCGCTTATATTATAATAAATTCCTTTTTATTTTGTTGAGACATGTACTTATTCAGTCTTTCAGGAATGGATCGTACTTGGATGGTAATTTCACTCCAGGATATTTCTTTGATTTTGTACTGCCGATTCTTCTTCAGCTCACGGAGTGCCAGATTCTACTATAAGAGAAAACGCGTGATGTCCAAGTTTCTCTACAGATAATCTCTCCACATTTTCCCCTCTTGCTTATTTAAATCTTGAGCCTTGCTGTCATTATTGTTGCCTAGTCAAACTTCAAGTTCCTTCCAAGCAAGTGATGTGTACTCGAGAGGTTAAAACCACTTGGTTACGGTTTGGCCATCTTACAAGGGGCTTGAGTTCAACCACCACCACTGGTCCACAAAAGAGATAGGGCCATTACTAATTAGTACCACTTGGACTTGATCCATTCACAAATGCTGGTTTATGCTCTCTCGTGTGTTTGCGGCTCCTCTGGTGGATCTAGAAGTGTCCTAGCTTCGCCAAACTGACTTTCTTCTCGTTGTCTCTGACTCCACAGGGAGAGGGAATCCATTGCATCACCATAGGTACCTTATGTTTACTATATACTACTACACACACACGCCATTGTTTTTGTCAGTGGGGCAGGCCACGTTTCAGAGCTCTCTGGAGGTTGTAGTCAGGAAGGTGAGTCTGTAAAGAAGATCACATTATTCAGTGTCCTAATCCAAGCCAACAACATAGCAACACACAATATGAGCATAATGATAGCAATACTGCAATAAAGCGATCGAAGAAGGCCATACAAATGTTTGTAAAATGTTTTAAACGTTTCGGGTGTTTCTTCAGAATTGACTTTAGTCCATACCACGGGACAACTTGGTATGGTAACGTGCAAAGGTTAAACCCGGGACCACCGATAAGTCCGAACGACAATCCAGCGCGCAAACCGCACGACCATGCAACCATATATAGATTATATGTTTTAGTATAAGGATTGAAGCTCACAAGTGGAACGTCCTACGGTTAAGGTTATAAAATTATTATGGAAAATATCCTAGGGTACTAAATAGGTAAGTAAAACTAAAGTTCCCCTTTCAGACCTTGATCTGTTGGGCTAGTATTGGACTGTGAAGTCTGTAAAAGATCTATCAATGGAAATATGAAGGCCAGATGTGATGTACCTTCTCTAAAAGAAAATTATTTTAAAATTGTTTTACTGTATTATTGACCATGCTTCAATTCCAAGCGACCCCTTTCGACGTTGGGGCATCATCCGTTTGCTTGCCAGCCTACCGGGTAAAAGCCCAAATGCCCACATAGCCAGTTCGCCCCTGGTTCTATTGTTGTACTCAGTCACTAAGACCACTGTTACGTTGTGAAGGTAGAGCCGTACTGGTGTGTTTTGGAAGGGAAATGAGGCCAGAGGACAAGAAACCAGTTCAGTGTGTTTACATTAAATATATTTATTCATTTCAGTATAAACCTTTTTTTTAAATGTAATTGAAGTCATTATATATGCAAGCCAGCCTTTATATGCCAAATGGTGCGATAGCGCATAGCTGTGACATAACAGGTGGGATGCGCGCACCGTCCACTTAACGGAAGCGCGACGTTTTGACAATGTGGGTGGGGTGGGTTATGGAGTGTGTGTTTCCAAGGGATTATGAAGAAAGGGAGCATTAATTGTTAGATTTTGAAGAAAAAGAACATATATTTTTAGTTTTCAAGAATGATGCAAGATAAGCGGCTCTGTCATAATCTATGAATATCTAGAGACGACTCAAGGACACCAGAGTATGAGGACCTGTTTTGATAGTGAGTTAGATTTAAAAAAAAAAAAAGCAATTTATGTAATTTCATCTCAAAAGAGACCTGTGCTTCTTCAATGAAACCTCTGCCTCTCCAATGAAACCTCTGCCTCTCCAATGAAACCTCCGCCGCTCCAATGAAACATCTACCTCTCCTATAAAACCTCTGCATCTCCAATGAAACCTCTGCTGCTCAATAAAACCTCTGCCTCTCCAATGATACCTCTGCCTTTCCAATAAAACCTCTGCCTCTCCAATGATACCTCTGCCTCTCCAATACTATCTCCAGCAATAATGTTAATCTCTAGATAGAGACAGAAGGTGTTCCCTTCTAATTGACTGGAAGAATAGAATCTCTAGATAGAGACAGAAGGTGTTCCCTTCTACTTGACTGGAAGAATAGAATCTCTAGATAGAGACAGAAGGTGTTCCCTTCTACTTGACCGGAAGAATAGAATGTCTAGATAGAGACAGAAGGTGTTCCCTTCTACTTGACCGGAAGAATAGAATGTCTAGATAGAGACAGAAGGTGTTCCCTTCTACTTGACCGGAAGAATAGAATGTCTAGATAGAGACAGAAGGTGTTCCCTTCTACTTGACCGGAAGAATAGAATGTCTAGATAGAGACAGAAGGTGTTCCCTTCTACTTGACCGGAAGAATAGAATGTCTAGATAGAGACAGAAGGTGTTCCCTTCTACTGAACATCAATGATACAGCCTGTGAAAAGACTGAAAATGTTGGCCTTCTCTATTTTTTCTTAAATGCCTATCTACTTTCTTTCCCCACGCTTTCTGTTTTTGATGTAAAAAAAAACAACACACACACAAAAACTCGAACCAGTGTACTTGTAGCTGATGCTGTAGTCCCCCCTCCTCCCTCTCGCCAGTTCTTCCACTACTGGCGCCCCGTGGGGTACGTTTGCAGGCAGTGACATTGTTGAAGTCACACTCCACGGTCCAGCGGTCTGAAAGCGTCAAAAGTGCACGAGCTTGGGGTGACGTCTGCTAAGCCAAGAGTTGACAGCAGCGCCCTCTAGCCGCTAGCATTGGCGAGATTTCTGGCGAACGTGTTCATAAACGTGACGTCATGTTACTCGAAAAAAAATATTATCTTTCGAAAGCATTAACTGAAATCTCTTCTTCTTCCCTAGTGCTATTACGGCATGGAATGGGTTGCCTGAGTCAGCCAGGAAAACCAACGACATGGCAGAGTTTAAGTCATTGATTAACATGCATGACTAGATTGAATCAGGGACACGCGTAGGACGTAATTATTGTGTCATTTGAAGTAACGTCTGTATTTTATAAGATTAGATAATCTCAAGCTTTTTTTTTCTGCATTCTGCTTGAGTGTTTCTGTGTGTGTGCATGTGTATTCTACACAATTTGTCGACTTTCTCGTGAATGAAAGGTCGAATTACTCACGACAAAGGTCCGCTACTTAAGACGAAGATGATCTTATTTACAACGAATATCTCATTATAGTATTGTTGCACTTTTTTTTTTTACTTTAATAAATCTGGCCAGATATTTCTTTCGAACTAGGATGAATAGTGCACTCTAGAGGTCATGAGAATGTGTTTCTTCAGCTCAGGGTCCAGGAAAACATTTTAAAATCGATCCGCCCACCCCTTACTACTTATCACCTTTTTTTTTCTTCTTTTTATAAGTATTGCGTTGTACGCGCGAGACGAATGCATTTCTGGTTCTCATAAAGCAGGAAAACGCTTGTCGCTGGAGTTCTTCCGCTGACCCCACTTTGGGATCTTACAGCGGTCCCTCAATCCCCTTGCAGCTGGCTGGCGGGGGGGGGGGGGGGGGGCTTATGGTGTATGTGTTTCCAAGGTGATTATGAAGAAAGGGAGAATTGACTGTTTGATGATGAAGAAAGGGAGCATTAATTGTTAGTTTTGTAGTATGATGCAAGATAAGCGGCGCTGTCGTAGGCTAAGTTACGTACGCCAGACGACTTCAGAATACCAGAGTGTAAAGACGTATTTATTGTGAGATTTGTTTTAACTTCATCTCAAGTTAATGTGTCTATATTGTAATAAAAGTTATATTTAGTTGGGTTGTTTTTTTTTCGCGAAGAAGTCATTCAAGTTATTTTAAGTTTTATATTTTAAAATATAATACGCAGTTAAGTTAGTTAAGTTGTCTACCAGCAGTATGGTGCTATAAGTCAACGACTGTCAACAACTGGGGGTGTGAATTTTTTTTTGGCCGGGGGGGAGTAAATATCTGTGAATTGTACTGCGTGAAAGGGTTTAAGAAACATTCTTACACTGATCGTCATCTGCTAAGTTATCTGTACAAACATTCAAAATACCTTTAGTTTTAGTAATACAATAGGCCTAATGCGATCAATATCGGAAATGGCCAGTGTACTTGAAAGAACAGGGGATTCCCCTAATAATTTTTTTAAAAAATCTTAATGGCTGCCGTGTTGAGAAAACAATTTGACTCTAGTC